TCTTCTTCTTCTTCTTCTTCTTCTTCTTCTTCTTCTTCTTCTTCTTCTTCTTCTTCTTCTTCTTCTTCTTCTTCTTCTGCTTCTTCTTCTTCTTCTTCTTCTTCTTCTTCTGCTTCTTTCTTCTTCTTCTTCTTCTTCTTCTGCTTCTTCTTCTTCTGCTTCTTCTTCTTCTTCTGCTTCTTCTTCTTCTTCCTCCTCCTCCTCCTCCTCCCATGTGCCATCATGACGTTGGCAATCATGATTCTCCACAATTTCTTGTCCTTTGTAGCTTTTAATAAATTTTGTTATCTCTCCTAAAACTTATTCCATCATCTATTTACTCAAGCTCTCTATGTATGTTATGCATTATTGACCTCTGTCCCATTAGCCTTTGATATAAAATTTCCCAAGACCTTATGTATTATGTGTACTAGACATTTCATCTATCTCTTCCTGATGTTAAGTATGTGTTTTGTTGTTTTCATTTTCTCTAAAACATTTTAATTACACACATGTTTTGTTCACTGTATTCTCAGCATCCTTCTGTAAAACCACATTTCTGTCTCTTCTTCATATGTAAAGATATTGTTCAGCATTCACTGCCATATAGAGGGACTAATATTACATCACAGTTCAGTACTCTTTTCTTTGTTTCTAGCAAAATTTTTCTGTTTTTAATAATTTGCTTAGCTTTTAGAAGGTTCTTTCTTCATTCCAGTGAAACTTTGGATTTCAGTGTTGGACTTTCCCTCCTTTGTTACCGATACTTTATTTCTCTTTTCAACATTTTTTTCTTTCACTTCTTTTTTTCGTAAGTCCTTCTTTAAGTTTCTTTTCTCAATCATTTGTTCTCTTTTCATTTCTTCTTTTTCATCTTTCATTCTTTATTTGTTTATTTCTCCATTTCCCTTTCAATTTTTTCCTTTTTTAGCTTTCTATTTCCTCTTTCCCTTACTTTCTTTCTTTTACTTCTTTTCTTCAATCTTATTGCTTTACTTCTTCATTTTTACATGAGTTCACCCGCTTTCTTCAGATTTTCTTTTTCATTTTTCTTCTTCCTTTTTCCCCTTATTCTACATTTACTTCCTCTTTGACTCACACAAAAATCCTTCAGCATTTCTCCTCTTCTCATATACATAAAAAAAAAAATTGTCTTCAAACATTAATCTTCCCTCCATAAATATTCTATCCCTAGACAGGCTGAAAACAACACAAGACAGCAAAAGAGTGTGGTTGGGGTTGGAACTAACATTCAGAACATCTCTTTCTCTTTGTTCATTGCTTAATAAAAAAAAAAAGCCTTCATTTTATCTATTTTTGGCCACATTTTCTAAGAAATTAAAAAGAAAGTGAATATATATATATATATATATATATATATATATATATATATATATATATATATATATATATATATATATATATATATATATATATAGATAGATATATATATGTATATATATATATATATATATATATATATATATATATATATATGTATATATATATATATATATATGTATATATATATATGTATGTATATGATAAACAAATAGATAATATTCTGAAAACAGTTTAAAAAAGGTTATTTTTAAATTTAAAAGTATATCATTGTGAGATATTCTTAATCAATCAGTATGCAGCATTAAAGTGAATTTTATCTAATTTTTAGTTGATTTTTTTTGCATGAATAATTCTGTTGCATTTATTTAGCTTTTGCTTAAAATTAATACCAGAGTTTTAAATCCATGAGATTTTAAGAAGGGAAGGGCTTGATAAAGGGTTGATGGATAGGAGAAAAACTGTAAATAAGATTTTAATTGTAAAATAAATAAATAAAATAACATTAAAACCTTGTAAACCAATAAACATATTTAAATAAAAATTAAATCCTCTGCTCTAAGAAAAGAATAAAAGTGGAGTAGAGACATGAAAGGAATGCAAGGAAAGGGAAAGAAAAAATAATGTAAATCAAAGATAAAAATGATTAGTGAATTCAAAAAGAAAGAAGCTGTAGGAATAAGATGGAGGAGGTGAAGTAGAAGGAAGAAGTTGGAGGAGTGGAAAAGTAGAAATTGAAAGAGGAACAGAAGTAGAAGGAAGAAGTTGGAGGAGTGGAAAAGTAGAATTTGAAAGCGGAACAGAAGTAGAAGGAAGAAGTTGGAGGAGTGGAAAAGTAGAAATTGAAAGAGGAACAGAAGTAGAAGGAAGAAGTTGGAGGAGAGGAAAAGTAGAATTTGAAAGAGGAACAGAAGTAGAAGGAAGAAGTTGGAGGAGAGGAAAAGTAGAATTTGAAAGAGGAACAGAAGTAGAAGGAAGAAGTTGGAGGAGAGGAAAAGTAGAATTTGAAAGAGGAACAGAAGTAGAAGGACAAAGTTGGAGGGGAAGAGAAGTTGAAGAAAGAAGTTGGAGAATGACGGAAGTAGACAAAGAGATTTAGAAGAATTTGAAAGAAGAGCAAAAGGAAAGAATTAGAACATATAATTTTCAAGGAGAAGTAGAAAGAACTTTTGAGGAGCATGAGGAGGGGTAAAAGAAAATATAGAAAAGGAAAGAGAGAAGAGAAATGTAAAGAATAAAGAAGAAAAGAAAGTAGAAAATAGAAATAGTAGTGAAGATAAGTGTAACAGTAACCTAAGCTAGAATAGTGAAAAAGTGGAAAAAGAAGAAGAAGCAATCATAATTGAAGTAAAAACAGATGAAAATAAAATAAAATTATCAGATGTAACCAGTAAGTAATAAGAAGAAAAACATGAATAATAATAATAATAATAATAATAAAGAAGAAGAAGACAGTGGTGATGATAACAAAAGAAACAAACTGTAATGGAGAAAGATAAAATGGCTGAAAGAAAAAAAATAAAAGAACAAAAGAAGAAAATGTATATAATTATAGGAAAGTAAATATTTCATGAAACTGTAAACAAAACAAAAAATAAATAAATAAATAGATTAATAATAATAATAATATTAATAATATTAATAATAATAATAATAATAATAATAATAATTATAAGAAGAAGAACAAGTAGAAGAAGACAAAGAAAAATGAAGCTGTAGCTCAAAAACTACTTAAATGAGTTTCAGATAAAGATCCAAACAATGTTTCCATTTTTTTTCCTTATTGTTTATGGAAGGAAAACTTTGAATACAAACAGGAGAATGAAAGACACTGACAATAAATAAATGGTTAAGACTCATAAATAAAGCGAAATGTAATAAATAAAATGTGAAAAGGAAAGGGAAAAAAAAAGAAAATTTCACAAATAATCATAAGATTAATAATAACAATGATGCTAAAAACAAAATTATAATCATTCCAACAACATGACTTAGGATGGGGAAACTTGTATCAAAAATAAAGGTTATATATAGAGAGATAAACAAATGAATGATCACGATCATAATCAAGTCTTATACATAGTGGGGGGACAGGTTGAATAATAGTTGCCAGAAGAGGAAATAGAACCAATGAAGTAAGTATGAAATTTGTTTAAGGTTGTTTGTATTCATGCCACACAAATGTTATTGAGGAAGGCTTGAATCCAGTTCTTCCTGTTCATTGTCGTAATGTCAAATATTTTGGCAAAATCCCCTTATCACTGGTATGCCACAATAGTCATTGAAAATATTGTTTTTATCATTTCACTCCAAGCAAGGCAATATAAACCACTAGCATGCAAGGGGTTAGTAAGATTGAAAGAGAGAGAGGAAAGTAAGAGAATAAGATTGAAAGAGACAGATGATGATGATTGACATTGCATTTAAATTGTCAAAGAACATAATTGACAAGAAAGCCAGAAGTCAGAGGAGAATTGCACAAGAAAAAATTATGGGAGAAGAAACTATTAGAATAGAACTTATAGATCTGTGTGCAAATTTGTAATGTCAAGGTACCAATGAAGGACATGCATCTATCTATCTATCTATCTATCTATCTATCTATCTATCTATCTATCTATCTATCTCATTCTATATATGTCTATATTTCTGAGATGAGGTATTGTAACTATTTACACTATTTACATTGTTTAGACTGTTGTCCTCATCATCGTTGTCATCTTCATGGCATTTCGGCCATTGTACGCTTTGGCCTTCTTCAGGTGATATACATTGGAATTATTTTAGTGTAATAAATAAAGGGTTTGGTTTGAAATTTTGAATTTATAAAACTTGAAGAATAATATTAGTTTCTAAGGATATGGGGAAATCCAATCATTTAGAAACTAATATTATTAATTTATGTGCTTATAAAACTCAGTAAATTTCAAAATTCGCTTGAAAATGAAACAGAACTAGGGACCTTAATTTAATTCTATAAGTGAATTTAAAGTTTTTAGCTTCAGTTTTTGAAACATGGTAATTCTTGTGTAGCGATGTAACCATATTTTTAAATTAGTAAATTTATATTTATTTTATAGATTGTTGACTTTTCATATTACCCAAAAATCTATGAAAATTTATTGGAATATTCCATAAAAATATTTCTACAGCAAATATAAAAAAATACAAAATTGAAAAAATAGGAAATTTTATAAAAAGATTAAGTATTTTACTTTTTTAGTAATGATTGTAACTCTAATAGCAAAAACAATTTTGGATTTACATTAGCAAAAATGTCCACCACAACAAAAATGATTGATTGATTTTGAAAATGATTTAATAAACTTTATAAATAAAATAGAAATAAGAAAAAATAATAATAATAAATTTCAAAAAAAATTATTTTAAATTAATAAATAATTCAAATAAATTATTCAAGCAGATAAATCCAGAACAATATATAAAATAAATCATATTAATTACAATAAACTTATTGAAAAAGCAGTATATAAATTTTATAAAACCACTAACAATGAATCACTATATAACATAAATAAAGAAGCAAAAATTATAACAAAATTAAAATTAGATAACAGAATAAAACAGGTAGCCAAAGTTGAACCATTTATTAAACTACAAGATCATAAAGATAATTTTTAAATAAAACTACAAGTAGATTATTAAATGCTACAAAAATTAATATAGGAAAAATTAGCAAGTAAATAATAGAAACCCATTATTTGCTTGTAAATATGTTCAAAATTATGAAAAATATTAGACATGAATCAATGGAAAAATACAAAAGAAAACATCAATTGGTTCAATAATATTACAACCAAAAATAACTGCACTTTTATACATCAATTACTGAGAATTTATTACATAAAGGGTTATGTAAACAACACATAAACATTCAAGAAGTATCACATAAAATTAAACATTGTAGAAAATCACTATTATGCTACAATAAAATATGGTTAAAAAAGTACAGTAACAAAAACTTTGATGTAACAAGGTGTAGTTATGATGGAGCTGATTTATGCAAACTTATAGGATTATACATTAACAAAAATTCAAACCACCCACCTAATGTATTAAAACATATACCAATATCTATTAATAAAAGAATTGCTACTAATTCTAGTATTGCAAAAATATGTAATGAAAATTAAAAAAAAATGTAAAAATTGGCATTAAGAAAAGATGATACATGAATAAAATAGAATATATAACTACAAACAATACATACAAAAATAAATGAAAAAGAAATATATGGTTTAACACACCTTATAACAATGCAAAAAAAAATAGGAAAATTATTCTTTAAATTAATTGATAAACATTTTCCTAAAAATAGTAAACTATCAAAAATCATTAATAAGAATACAATAAAAATCAGCTACAGTTGTATGAATAATATGGGGAATATATTAAATAAACATAATAAAACTATATTAAACAAAAATAATAACAATTATAATAATACAAATCAGAATAATAATAATAATAATAATAACAGTCGTAATTGTCAAAATAAAAATGACTGTCCACTTGATAATAAATGTTTAACCAATAATATAAGATATAATGCAACTGTATCAAATAATATTAACATAGAACAAAATATTTATATAGGAACTACTGAAACAAGCTTTAAGGAAACGTTTAACTATCATAAAATATCATTCAAATTAAATAGATACGCAAACAACACAACATTAATTAAATAACAACAATTTATATTTTAAATATAATATACATATGTAAATGTATATAAAAAAACAACATTGAAAAGTAATAATTATAAAATACAAGAAAAGTAATAATTAAAAAATACACAGTGAAAAAATATACACGCATCTGTTATGTTTGTTATTGGAAATATACTTTTGAGGAGAACTTGTGTTTATGAACAAACTGATAAACACATGAATGAACATCAACAGTCATTTATAAATAAAAAAAACCTTGAAAAGTGGACCTACATGACAAAACTGTGTAGTTGGGATAATAATAATCAAATATGGATAAATTAGTTTAAAGTAAGTAAATTTTTCAATTTTAAAAATTATATATATATATATATATAGTTAATGATTAATTATTAAGTGAACATATACTGATGTCCATTATATCCCAACTGTAGCCCAGTTATTTCAAATAATATAATGCCAAATGAGAGGTGTACAAAATCAACAAAACCAAGAGTAATAAAAATAGAATCTATAAACACAAAAACTAGGCATATAATATTACCTGCAAACTATAGCTAATGAACTTGAGAGAAATTTAGTTAAATCTCTGTATAAAAATTATCACAAGCACTTTGAAAACAATTAAAAATTTAATCAAAGTAAAACAGACAGCAATCTTTACATCAGAAACAAGAGTCTACCAAATAGCATGTAAACAATGCTCCTCAAAATACAACAGTGAAACATCCTGAATTTAAAGAAAAGAATATATAAATATAAAAGATGCTTGAAATTAAACAACATACTTTATACACTGATATGTTACCAAAATTTGTATGATCACAATTTTGACATGAAAAATGCAGTTTTATAAAGAATGATATTTTACTGAGACAAAGATTCATTGAAAGTGTCATGATCTACAAATCCCCTGCGGTTAATGCCCAGACTACTGTTTATAATCTGTTCTTAATAAACTGCTATTGAAATAATGTGAAATACAATCTTATAACAAATAAAAACTCTGTTAAAATTAGTAAAATCTAATTTCAAAACTCATACAGGTAAGGTTGAAAAAAAAAATTAAAGAAGAAAATATATGAACTTAAAAGGGACTTATAATTAAACAACACACTCAATGCAAATGGATGCCATCAAAACCTTCAGGATCACAAGTTTAATCTAGAAAATGCTGTCTTATTAAATAATGAAATTAATTTATTCAGACGAAGATGCCCTGAAACTGTCATGATCTACAAATACCCTGCGATTAATATATGACTAGACAACTTTCAGTCTATCAGCTGTTCTTAATATACTGGCGTTGAAATAATGTTGGATGCAAAACAAAAACTGTGTTGAAATTAGTAAAATCTAATTTAAAAAAGATACAGTTAAGGTAAAAAAAATAATCAAGAATCCACATGCTTAATGCAAATCATATTCTGTTGTCATAGTGTAGATTTAGTTGAAATAAAATCTGTTTGTCTCTTTTTAGCCAGAT